GCTGAATCCTGGCCGACCTAGATATATTTTAAGCAGATAAAATGTGAGTAAAAAGATTACTAAATCGTCTCGACTAGTTATGCTAATTAAAAAAACTTATTCATTTATAAGGTAAAACAAACCAAATAAACAAAGATGAATCCTTTCATAATCTTGCAATAAATCTTCGTGTCATGAAATATAATTTTGGAATTAATATAGATCTGACGATTTTAATTGACCAATGTGTCCTTCTATAGGCAATGTTTCGGTTGGTTCAATAAAATGAACTAGGCATAATGCAAAACTTTGGCAAAAATCCAGCACTTTGGATTCTAAAACACCTATTTATATGCTAAAATTATTTAAGCAGTTTTTTTTTATAAATTAAGAGACCGTTTCTTATCTATAGAGTTTAGTGGGTGCAAGCTGTACAGTACTTTATTCTATCAATATCTTTCAATATCCTTCACCATCTAAAATGGACTAAGAATTGTACGCGATCCCCGGGATATCATCTATGAACGGTCACAATATCCATTGAAACATTAACTTGTGTACTCGACTGCGTCATACTCATTCATCACACCCTAGTTGTCATCAACTCTGTTCAACAAGACGAATAGTGTTCGTCCAGCCTCATTCTGCTCCAAGACTAACTGGGGATTATCCAGCGATGTGGAGGTAGAATGATTCATGCCGTCCTGCCCCCCACGGAGAGTGTTAAATCCACCTGTTTACATAACCCCTCTAATGACGGACGGGATCAGATACACAAAGAGAGCGGGGGTCGTGGGGTCACCTGGTGATGAATCGCCACACTCGAGAGAACGAGTTTCGCCTTTTCTGGCCGACCTAGGAGGTGACCGCTTTCTTCGATTAAACAGAACCGTTTTACCCGGTGAACGGAGACTATCGATGTGAACATGTGCATTGTGGTGTCGCTGGTACCTGCAGCATGAGCTGCAGCACTTTCACTTTTACTGCCCCAAACGACGCCCACACAAACACTTACGTCCCAACAAGGTGTACGTGCTAGAGCACTTGCAAGGTGCCACTCTCAGTTTCTGGTCTTTCAGAACAAATGTGCTCGTGAATGGGTGGCAAGGTGAGAGAAACGGCGTGGCTGATATTGGGAGCCATTGTTCTACTGACAGTGTTGCCTCGTAAAAGGTAAATATATCCAATATCACAAAACAAATAACCGTGCATAGAAGCTTGCCGTTCATGAAATAATATATACAATCGATTTGTGTGTTCTACCTTCTCCAGATAACTTCAACTCCCTTAAAAGTTTGAACGTATATTTGACCTAGAAGTTCAGTATATCATAGCTTCGGTGTTTATCCTGCCAAAATGACCAAATCACATTGGGCGATTCGAGCCAGAACGGCGTGCCACGGACGATTGCGTCTTGACCGTTCGTAGTGCCGTTCTATAAGCTGTCTTTTTCAAGGTCCGAACGTGAAAGCATCGTGATGGCGGTGGCTCAATCATCATCCATCACCCGGACAGTTCCCTGGGATCGAGACTTGAGGCAGGTCTAGCACGCTGACACTCGTTGAGGATGTTCATTAAAACCGCATCATCGCTATCAAACTGCTTCGCGGTTCCCAGGATGATCACGGATGGGCGAATGCTTGCAGAAGACTGCCGGGCTATGCGATTACTTGGAGTTGTTGGAGGTGATTCTCGTTACGAAGAGAATGCGACTGATGCACATAGTTCCCAGGGTAGACTGAAGAGTAGTAATAATTTCATGATTGTGAGCCATCAGTTGCTACCAATTGTGAGATAAGTACAGAGGATTCAAATGAGTATACATGATTCTCCGAATATATACTTGTTAAGAAGATTCATTAAATAGCCAAAGTTTGTATAGGTCTTATAAAAACGGATTATTATTCCCTTTATGGAGTATAATATATGCTATGTAGAAGCAGTGAGTGACATTTTACAGAGATATGCATTTGATATAGAGAGGCTCAACTGTAATTTAATTGTTCGGTTATGTCAACAATGTGTATATGAGTTTCTTCAATAATTGTTCCTGCCCTCATGATGATATTTTCATAACATTTCATTTTGCATTTAAAATGTTAATCCACTTTGAGGTTAAGATTCTCTTTCATCTTAAACAATTTTCAGTTTATATATTATTTTGACCTAGATAATGTTCCTTCTACGCTAATATTTCACCCTTTTCACATTCCAAGGTGAGTCTCCGCCATCTGTCACGTATTTCATTCTTGTCACAGTACAAATCAATCTCACACTCCCAGTATGGTATGGATCGGGCTACACATTCAATACATATTACATCAGGTCTAGGATTTCCTTATCCATAAACATAGATCCTGAGCTGGCAATGTCCAAGTGTGTGTTGTTCACCAGAGTTAAACGCTCAGAACCAGATATCCCTTGTCCAGTACCCTCCGTCCTCCAACCGCCGAGTCTCATTAACATGCGTGTGTCCATCTTGCTTTTGCATCCTGGCGAGTATCCATGAACTGAATTACTGGACCTTCGCTCAGTTACATTTGCTCTACAAGGAGTAGAGTCACTCGGTCAGGTCGGTCTCTCTAACTCACCCGGAGCAAATTTGTTTGTACGACAACATGTTTGCTTTATAAAACATCTTATCCTATTTACTGCACCTAGAATTACCTGTTGAACGGCGAGTTTGTCTATCTGTCGTGACAAGTTGGCATCGAGACAGTTTGCTGGCTAGCTTTCAGTTTCGAGTTTAGTCGAAAAACTGTGCTGATTCTTCTCTAGTGAGTCATATTAGTTCCATGGTAGGGGTTCAAAGAATAATCTGACTAAAGTTTCCAACATGGAATTAGGTTTCCCTTGAAAAATTAAAGCGTCCTCTTCTTTTTTCGTCAACACTTCGAATCGTTTGATAAACAAAGCAAATAATCTCTAAATATTCCCTATTGTAATAGCCAAACGTAGCAATGTTATCTAAAAGTTTCCTCCAAAACTACTTTCGCCTTACGAAACGAAATGTTTTCGGTTTGCAACATAGGTCAGTGTAACTAAAGCATCACAAAGAACTTTGCATATCACTACCTAAGTAATCAGGAAGACATGATAGACTGTTCCAAAAATGATTCCAACGCGGACATGCAGAAGTGACAATAGGCCATGAGAATCGACCGCAGCGAACGCGGCTGTGGAAATCCTGTATGGAAATCGGAAACTCGCAGTCCGGAGTTATCAACGGCACACTAGGGTTAATAGACACGGTGTGTTATCGGTGCTATTAAACCAATAATGGTGCAGACTGTGAGAAGTGAGTTGCGAGCGAGACGACGACGGCGACGGCGGCACGCGCTGAGGTAACTCTTCTGCAAGGTCGCTCCAGCGAGAAACTGCCAACCGGGGACCAATAATTGGGCACCTACACCTGACGGATCACGACTGCATGGCGAGGTATTGTGCCGAAATGTGAATACGAGAGGTGAATTATTGTTGCGCCGTTTTCGCAACAATGGAAAGAGTGACACTGCTGTTGAGCAACGACCGTTTACAGACTCCGGTCGGTCCTTGCAGAGGGTCGTTATTGTGTGAGCGACGTCAAAGTTTGCAACAATCGTAGGCAATCTCTCAAGGATTCTTTGCCGTTTTCACGTAGAAAACACCGACGCTCTGTGATTTAAGTGCATAATACAACTTGACTTGAGAATTTGAAGAAACTCGAGTGGATACATCTTTGTAAACAAACTCGGAATTTTAAAGGGAAAAATCAAATCCTAATACGATTTACAAAGAGACACTAAACGATTATTTTTCATCAAATTCATGCTAAACAATGTTGACGTAAACCCTGATCACAGTGGAACCGTAAATGTGCTCTGAATGTCCCTTGCATTATCGAAGACCAATAGTAAAACTTACAGTTACTTAAGTAACTGTATTTTAACCCAGTTGTAATACACCTGTTATTTTGCTGTACGGAAATTATGCTAGAATCAAACCACTTAGGTTAAAACAACTTATTTTACACAGAACGAACTAAGTATGAATGAAATACCATTGTTGTCAGAATCGTTCTTCTTTTTATCCTACTTCAACAAACGCTTGCATAAAAGCATTAAAAATCATCCTCTAAAGACCTGATATCCTTGGATCAGCCAATTTCAAATTTCGATTCCAAATTATGTTTCTGCCTTTTAAAATGTTGACTACATAATGAGAATAAATTTGTAATACACAATGATGGAATATGCAATGGCTAGTTCTTCTCTATTACATTTTCTCTATGCGTCGTTGGACATCACCCACATTAAAATATGCCTCAAATTTTAAAATCGGATGAAAATTCTTATTGCAGTGTTAACAATCGATGGTGACAGGGGTCTTGGTGAAACGGCCGTATGATCGTCCTTATATAAATCACTGACAATTATCACAGTTTGAGCTCACGAAGACATTGTTATTGTGATATCTGTGGTTACTTATTGTTTCTATCTGTTTACATATTGTGTCTTACACGTCGTACGTCCAACGCATGGGGCCGGTCCGATCTGTCCACGATTATATTTAATAGCCAACCGATCCCATTATGACAACAGGACCGATTCGATTTATATCTCTGTCAATTTACTAGCGCATTATTCATGTGTGTCCGTTTCACCTGATGTATTGCATTAGATATGTCTTTATTTTGAGTAACTGCGTTTCCAATCCATATTGAAAAGTTCCGGAGTCGATACAATTTAATCGCAATCGATAGACTGAAGCAGTGTTTAGTTGAATTTGCATTCGATACATAGTTAATTCGGGTTATTAGTGTGATTCTTTTTGTTTAATCGTATACCGAGTAATAAATGTTTTCTATCGAATGAGTGTGTTCGAGATATTTCATGTAGAATTAAAATCGTAGTGCTTTAGTTTTTACGTTCCTTTGAACAGATTTGGTGATTTGCATGTTAGAAGTTGATGATAAGTAAGATGTCGTTATTGTATTAACAGACCTTCCATGATTCCATATATTAATTGCGATTTTTTGTTACAGTTGGCGATCCAAATAATCGCAGCAGAGCAGACAGCCTAAAGAGCAAAATGTAAGTGTTAACAGTTTTGTAGTTTTAAGTATTTTTGACTTCTTAATAATAAAAACATTAATTTTTGTAAGGGGTTATTCAAATTCTTAAAAACTAAACAATGAGCTATGGTTTGTACAGTATTACTATTACACATGAGAGAAATACAGGAATCCTGTACAGACACCGAGCGAAACTAAAAGAGAATAAAACAAAAAACGAAAAATGAATAGCTAATTAACAACATTCTATACTCATACAAAGACTCAAGCCTTCCTCAAGGATTTTACACCAACTCAACCAAACCGTGTTGGTTACATTAGAAGTACATTTTATATTAAGTATTTATATTTACCCTCTAAATGTTCAAGAAGAATAGTGACACCATACAAATACACCGTGAATTCATTGACATGATTGTATACATTACAAAAAATTATAAGGGATAGTCTTGAATTTACTAGCCAAAATAAAATAGCTTGAAAAGAAAGGTTTTGGCGACTCTTTGCATGAAAAATATTCACGAAATATATAGAGTACTATTGATTTAATTGCACTCTCAATACCATACTTCAATTCAATTCTTAAGGTTGATTATAATTTAATGTAGAACAAACCATTTTGCTTAAGACACTAAAATATTATTACTGAGATTTCCAAAACAAACAGCAGTCAAGCATCTCGTGAGAAAATCGCAGCTTTACGTAAAACTGGCGAATATATCGACACGGGCGGTCGAGGTTTCCATTTGGGTTTGGAAAAACGTTTTTTTCTTATCATACATCTCCAAGTAGGGCCTCCCGCTCATGGGTCAACATTCCAATCCCAAAAGCCGAACAAAGACATACAAGGAGTGAAACTGAAAGTGAGTGATATTCTCTTATCTCTTCAAATGCCGATTGTGCAGCTTGTTTGTCAACGAATCATGTAACATAAGCCCATTTGTGTCCCAGAAAACCCTTCGGCCATTAATTAAATTCATTTAGTTAAATCTGCAACCAAAACTTTAATTTTGTTCGTTCCTCAAACTTTTCTTGTTTTGAAATAGTCAATTACATTTTCGATAAATATAAATGCTTTTGTTACTTCGTTGCTTTCCCTAAAGCCAGTATTCAAAGGCAGTTGATTTTTCTATTGATATCATAATTAATCATACATATTGGTCCCAAATATAATGAACATAATTACAATCGTAATAGACCAAATTATTTAATACATCACTAAACAGCTGTTTGTTCACAATACACAAATTTAATACAGGATACAAGTTATTTTTGCAGTTATTTTTTTACATGGAAAAATAACCACATTTTTGATGGGTTGTCTTGTACTTCAGTCTTGAAAAGCAATTTGCTTTAATAATAATGCAATATTACGGAAAATCTAGTTCATACACCTCGCTCATTTTAAACTTTCGGGTCGGAAAGAATCACTTTACTCCCTAGTGACGAAATATACTATTACTATCTACATACAATCATGAATATATCCTTTATGTCTCATAGATTCCATTGAACAGATACCCCAGCCCATTCTATGCACCTGCCCTACTGTCCACACAGTATACAGCTTGTCCACGCACAATCGCTGTACCCGGTCTAGGTGAATTATATAAATTAGCATTAATTAACACACGTATCTGGGTAACAGTGTTTCGCGGAAGTCTAGCTACCTGTTGTTGGACCGGTTTTGATTGTTTGTTTAGGTTATGTTGTCGTGCAAACAGCTGTTAAATAGATACAAAAAGACGCCTAGACCATTTGTCACGCGGTAGAAACATTCACTATTCCCACGACTCTAGTATTAAGTTGTTAACTTTTTGTGCTCGCTACAGCTTCGTTATCGAATGCCGTTGCGGCCCATTGGTTCATTGGTACAGTTTTTATTGGATGACAGCCAATAGCAATGAGCTGGTATTCGTCAAAATTGGTATAAGAATTTTAAGTGGAATGATGACGTAATTTTATAAATTTAATTAAGGTTTTACTGTATGTATTTGAGATGAGGTTTTTCTACTTGTAAACTGGCTTGACATAAGTTGTGTTATCGAATAAACTACAATATTATTTTATAATTTTTCAAAAACTTTTAATTGGTAACAAATTACACTGATATCTAAACCAAAGGAAAATTGCGTTTAATGTGTAAAAATTACTGCGTGTGGTCCAACTTCTGGTAGTTATTGACACAATGGCCATATTATTTGGTTAGCTAAGAAAAAAACAAATTCAGATGTTGTAAGCAAAATGTGTTGACATAAAACAAAACGTAAAGGACTAAGTGTGAAGTGAAAAGTTTGTACAATAAATAAAACACCGTTATAATAATTATAGTATCTCATTATATTGGCAGCTTTGTATTTTTTTTGTCTTTACAAAAAAATTAACATTTTTGTGATACTAGACACGTTTGTGTAACACAGGTATATGATCACCGTGTTATATTATCGCTCTGTTCCACCTAAAACACAACACAACTTTATTACAGTCACTTATGATGTTCAGTAGACTTGTAAACATTTACTTAACACTATGTACATCTCTCTTTCCAGTAAGATGTGAAACAATCATATTTAATTATTAAATTGTTAAAACATATGATGTATCAAAAAGTAAATGAAAAAGTTGTTCTCTTGTAACCATTATAAAAGTGTGTTCATATTTTCTCGTACTCACAAATCCTTTCAATTTCAACATTACCCGGTCTTTCGAACTATTTCTCATTACTTTAATTTAATTCTCTCATCAATCATTAACTTTATTTTCCTTAGGTAATATTTGGTTTCCAAATGCTTATACTTCAATCCTAGATATTGAATATCAGTCCTTCCTACAAACAATTTTCCACGCAAAAATCAACGTTAACACAACTTGGAACAAACCCAACCCCTCCTAGTAATCGGAAGGTAATGAGATCGTTGGTTATGGTTTTCGAGAAGTAATTAAATGAATGTTTTTATAACGGTTTTCCATTTCTGACCGGACAGTAGTAAAAGGTTTTATAGCTTCATAAATGCGGTGCACGCGTCGCTGACACGATCCTTCGTACGCAATACACGCCTTGTGCGAAGTTTTCAGTTCAAGGGTGCCATTTACAATGTCTTATGGTGGTGATTTTAGCTTAGACTCGCGATGCCCTTATCTAAGCTAATGTTTAAGGTAGTTCAAATGCTATTGCTTTTGTCCATGTACGCTGTGAAGGACGAGCGTATGTATGTCGAAGGATGATTGAAGAGAGCAAAAGTACTAAACACCAATTACAACATAGATTAAACAAATTATCTTTTAGACTTACCAACTTTAAGATATAACCAAAAGCAAGAAAAAACTAAGTATTTCTGTAGCTGAAAGTACAAAAAAATACGCCAAATAAACACTTGTAAACTGTTGACTCAGAAGACGGTAAATACATATAAAAGATCGTAAGTAGTGATCGATTTCGATTGGGCATTCCAATCATCATCAGACCCAATTGGCGAATGTTTCGATCACCACTTACCATATTCTATACATATTTACCGTCTTGTGAGTCAACAGTATAAGTGTAAATATATTATTACAAGTGTTGTTTGAAAAATTTGTTGTATGTTCAGGTAATTTAATAATATGTACGATAAGAAGTTATTTATTTCTTTAGGTAAAGAATTATATAAATTATGTTTCTGTCTTGTGCATTCAGAATACGTCTTGATGTTTGGCATTTCTTTCATCTTATTACACCAACTTTTCTATTTAAATAGAATAAAACGACCTCTTACCATTGATTACTTACTCCTACCAGGAGATAAATGAGCACGACAGCAAAAATCGAAACCGGATAAGAATCATACATTAAAAAAGCTTCGTATTTTACATAAAACGATTAGCCTTATAGCACTGCTTAGGATATATCAAAGTCAACAAACGCAATGTGCCTAGAAACATAAAAACTCTAAAAATCCCTGAAAATCTAAACAAAACATTAGTATGTAAAATAACTACGTGATAAAGGGAGTTGGAATATACAACCTACCCACCAAATAAAAAAGAAACATGTTCCCCAGACAAAAATGAAATAACAGTTTAATAAAACTAGTGTGTTACGGGTTTTTATGTCTGTACCACCTACAAAAATCGAGAAATTAATGCAATATTTTAACTAACTTTTGAATCAAACGTAATCCCAAGGCGAAATTGAATAAAATAAAAAGAGTATGTAAGACATTGTAAAACGAAGGCTGGAGGGAATTGAATCTATATAGATGTCCTTTATCCAACTTTGTCATGCCACTAAACCCAAAGTACTTAAAATTTACTCGTCCAAAATCAAAGAAAATAAGTATGAATATACACAAGACTTTTGTCCGGTAAATCGAAATGTTGCACCAACGCACCAAACTAAAAAATATAAAATTATCACAACGAATTTACTATTTTCAATTTTGAAAAAGTACTCCCCCGACAAAGACGAAAATGAAATATGAGTGCAAGACATTTGTCCAGTGAAGGGTGGCCTTGGGTGACGCAGAGAGTGGTAGAAGCTCATAGAGGCGGTCGAGGGAGCTGATATGTTAACGAATACGACACGAGTACGTTAATTAAACAAGGAATATCGGTGCCATCGAGACAGCCTTACAGCTAATGAGCCGGTCGAAGGACGTTCTTGGAGGATGTTGCGTTACAGGAGGACTACGTTGGTATCTTGCTGCTTTGGTCCTAATCCTTACCCGCTCACTACAAGATGGCAAATCCACTCAGAGACTCATGTTAAGAGTTAAATTGTACTATGTTAGGGTTCAGTAATGTTATGTAATGTCGAATTGATTAAAGACTTGTCTAAATCAGGATTAAAATTTATTTTCACCAAAGACCAGACTCCACCTACGTGATGACTTTGCAAGTTTTCCGTGCGTCAATTTTTCGCCATTTATAACAGTATTACGGGAGATAAGTTGTTTGCATTGAATGTCCATCTTTATTCTTATGTACAACCTTACGCCCCTAGTTGGAAGATCCCCTTATAACTGTAATGACCTTGTAAAC